CAGAACTCAGCTTTATGACAAAAACATCTTTGAACATTGTACCTCTTACTCTAATTTGTACAAATACAGTCTGAAAGAAATCATATGCAGGAAAATTAGTCATCCTGCAGACAAACATATTAGAAAATAATGAATGGCACAAACAATAAAATTTAAGACACTCATCAAGAGTGTGAACAAATGAGGAAATATCTGCCGATTAACTAAAAAGCACAATTTTAATGCCATGATTATGCTTAGTGACTGCAAACCCTCACGTTTTTAATTGTTCTGAAAACGAACAAAAACATCCTCTGTAAGAAGCAAATTAATAAACACAACACAAAGTAAGTTCAAAAATAATTCATAATTAAGGTTTTTGTTGGCCATTTAAAATTCCGATTAAAACCAAGCGGGCAGTTTTCAGATAGGCTGAGCAAAAGATCAGTTATTCTGTTCATTGTTTCTACTTGATGCCACCATCTTCCATTCAGGACACTAACATAACCTCCAACACCACCACTTCCAGTATGACAAACCCAAGACAAAGACTTCACGTGGGGAGAAAGCAGAAGTAGCAATATCCTTCTAAGCAATACACACAGTATCTTAAAACGAAACAGAGAAATGGGAAAAAACATAGGATCAGCAGTTTGTGCTTTAGGAAAGGAAGGAAAAAAAAAAAAAAAAAAACCACACCAGACTGAGCTCCAGATTGTTCAGCACCACCACATGCAGGAATAACCCTCATGTGCTGATTTCAGAGCTTGGCTTTCACCAACCCACAGCTACCAGGAGCACTCATGCTGTCCCTTAAAGCTCACGCGCTACTCCCAGCCAGTGCAGTTAGCGTCATGGGCTTATAGTTTTGTCCTGAAAACACCAAGTTACAGATTTTAAAGATCTTCAAACAACTTGACTAGGTTAAACAACAACATAAACAGTGCTCCATGACGCTAATACAACAAAGCCCCTTTCCTCATCCACGCAGCTGGACTTGTGGCTAACAACATGCAGTCTCTGATGAGAGTTTCCCAGAGTCACAGTATGATATAACATTCACCTGCATGGGGATTTTTCTGGTGTCTAACACAGGCTGAGCTGACAGTGCGGCCTTTTGATTCCTTAGAACTAAGTTCTCTACTCTGCTTTGCCACCTGTTCTCAAGAATGTTTTAAAACAAATTTACAAGGGTTATATCACACCCAACTTTAGACACCCACAAACAATACTATTTAGCCTCCTTTCCCAAGTGCTGAAGAGGGGGCAGCACTGCCCAACACCAAGCACCTCATATCAGGCACCACTGGGGACACAATGAATCACCCCAGAACCGAAACCCACTCTGTACCTTTGAAATTCCTACTTCTCTAGTGTACTGAGCTGGAATTAGCCAATGACAGTAAAATTATTGGACAATAGACAGGGAGGAAAAGCAGAGAGAGAGGCAGTGGGACAGTTTCCCTAGAAAATCAGCCCAAAGCTTTACAATCTTGTAGCATGCGCTCACGGCTCGAGCTGGTTGCCAGTGTCCAGGCACACCCATGCACACGGGTGAAGTTCAGGCAGCGGGGCCGGACACGCAGGGCGTTGCTCTGTGCAGCGCTGCCTCATCTCGCCTGCACGCGCAGCAGTCAGCTGGAGGCCCGTGGACGCCGTGGGGAAGCACCCGCAAGCCACGTCAGCCCTGCCCTGCTGGCGACAGGCGCCTTCTGCTACAGCTCAGCTTATGGAGATATATTTGGTCCTGAACACTATATTGCTATGAAAGTTACGTACACACACAGCCATACTACAAACCTGGAACCTAGGCATGCTCAAGTCCTGGCCGGAAATGTACTTTGTCTTGTAAAGGATTAGGCATTGACCTATCCTACTTCCAAGAAGGCTTTTCCACCAGATCCAACAGGGATCCCTGCAGAGTGTCTGCAGCAAGCACAGCCAGAGGCAAAACAGTGAACTCTGACAGTTTTTCTGATGTTGTTTTTTTCTCATTGTTCTGAGCGTACACCACCAGATAACAAAGCCACACATCCCAAGTTCATCAGAAGCAAAACACAAACAAGTGTGCTTACTCAATTCTGTTTTATGCAACAGGCAGAACTGCTTGCATGAGACACTATGCAATGCAGTAAACTGAGCAGAGGTTTTAAGAATAATTAACCTCATGGCAGGTAGAGGGAGAGAGATAGACGTATACAGACCAACCACACCACAACTACTTATGAAGTTAGAACTAGAGGTTACAAGTAGCCATTGCTAAAAAATTAAAAGAAAAAAAGGGCTTTTTTAAAAAATTGTCAGGGCTCCACTCACAGCATCCACAGAAGGATGCCAAGTTTCTCTTCCCTCAGCTTAGAGGCCTAGAAACAGGATAGGCAGAAGATGCCAGCCAGACAGAAGATATCTCTTCCACTGAGATATTGGAAGGGTTCTGCACTGTCTCTTCTTTCTCCTGCAACTTGTCAGCTGGTCTCTACATTTATAAATAACTTCAGTGTTTACTGCTTGATACTTGGGTGGAAGCCTGAGTGAGGCCAGAGAGAAAAAAGTAATGTACAAGAAAAGGGGTTTTATTACAATAACAAAACTTCTAATACGGACTGCTTGTCACCATAACACAAACCTACTGCATGCTAGAAATCTTCAGAGCAGTCCATAGAGATTTAGCTCCATGTGTGACCTTCAATGTCATTACACATGAATGGTGCTATATGAAAGCAAACTTTTTTTTTTTTTTTTAACCCTAGGAGGAACTAGGGTATCTGTCTCCTTCAGGTTATATATTGGTTTGCCTTTGGTTTTCCTTTCTTCCATTTCCCTTGCTGGAGAGCTGATACTGCCATTCATCATACAGGTACAACTCTGCAATAGTAACACACTGGCTAAACAAAGTCAAGGTGGTTTCAGGATCACACTCAAGTTTTATGAAGTTGTAAAGTAACTAATGCTGGATAAACAAGATTATTATATAAAAATAGACTTCCTTCTCCCAATATTGCCAAAACTGAAAAAGAAATCAAGCGGAGAACCTAAGTTCTGCTTTGAAAGCAGGCAAATCTTTGGCTTTATGGATTGTTTCCTGTATGATCCTTGCACAAAATTTACCACTAGTGATGTTCAAGAATTTTTTGAAGCTGGTTTCAGCTTGTCTAAGTTGAGTAGTTCAACCAAAGGCGATATGGTAGCATGGATAAACAGAATTTCTTCATAGATAACTAATGAAAGGAGAATATGAAAATCTATATACTATTATAGAAATAAGTAGTAAATAAGTTTAAAGTAGTTCAAATTGATCATCTGACACTTGTCCTCCAGAGCTAGTCTGGGTGGACATATTTTGAACTGAAAATTTAAATCCACACTATCACCATAGTTTTCAGTGAAAACTCATAGCATTTGAGGCTCGCTTCCATCAAGACCAGGAGCTCCAGCACATGGAATAAGGTTACAGTGATCCCAACAATCTGTTCCCTCTCCAAACTCAGCTGGACAAGCTCCACTCAGATAGACTTCCTTATTTGTCAGAGACTCTGGTGCTATGCCGTGTGACTTATCATGCCCTTGGTAGCTTTGGTGCAATGTTGTGTGACTTATTGTGCCCTTGGTGGCTTTGGCTAATCTGAAAATAATCATGAGAGATAAAGGGTGTGGCATAGGAACAGCACAGAGGTTATGTTGGGATGGCAGGTGTTCCTCAAAACTGCACAATAACAAAAGAGCATTCATGTTCCGTGCTAGCTCACATGGCAAAAAAAGGAAAATAGGGCCCAGCCTACCAAAAGGTGAAGGGAGTCAGCTCCCATAGAAGCAGCCTTACAGGAGCAGTGTTATTTCACCTGTGCTCATGCATAGTTTACCATCACACTCACACCTCATCTAGAGCCTTTTCCCTAGTGAAATCGGTGAAGCTTTGCAGAATGCAGAGCATTGCACCATTCGAATGCACCATTGCTTGCTCTCAAATACTCAGATATAAGTGCACTGCAGTCACTCACTCCCCGCCCCATCCCAGTGTTAGTGCAAGTTACAGCTAAATCAGTTTTGCTCCACAACAGCTTTTTAATAAAGCAGATTCACTCAGTGCCACAGAAAACAAATCCAAAGCAAGCAAAGCAGCACAAACAGGTTTTCAAAAAGCAGAATGACTGTGTGAGATCATGAAACACCCAAATTATCATCATTAATACTAGCAGCCCAGTCAAACACTTTTTGGGGTTGATTTGGGTTCAGTCTTTTACATACCAGTTGAAGGTATCTGATCATCACAGTTCTCATTCACCTAATTAGCTGGTGGACATGCTGAAAAGAGTAGAAAGCAGTAGATAGGTAGCAGTACTTGAGCAACATTTATAAAGGAACTGAAAGCAAACGAAGGAGAAGACTACTGATATTTTTCCCCCGTGTCAGTAATTTACTGGGATCTTCCTTCCCCACTGACAAAAACAAAATGCAAATTCACTACTTAGAGAACGCTTTCACTAAGATCTCTCAGAAAGTGACAAGGTCTGTAGAATTAAGAGGTAGGAGAGACTCCTGTTTGTACATAGTGCCCAATACTGTGCAACATGCATTGCAAAAATATACTACTTGCTTTCAAAGCACATATTCTGTTAGTCCAGAGTTTGAAACTTGGAAAAATAGACCTGCTTATTTCACTGAAGTCATTCAAATTTGCAGGTAGATGAACTCCTTCTAAGCAAAAGCATAGGCCCCGATTCAACAAAGCTTGATTTAGATTTTCCTGAAGAGGACAAAGGCTCAAGGGTGTTGCTGACTCACAGTCACAGTTATCACAAGATTTCCGCTACTTTCAAACTCTTCACTAAACATCAGCCAAGTTTAAAAACCATGGACTAAGACTCCACAATGCCTTTATTTTTAAACTACACAGACCTTACTAGTGGGATTTTCTAAAAGCAAAAGCATTGGCCTAACTCTGCTCCAACTAAACCACTTGAAGTCCCTTCATCTTCAATCTAAACACAGGACGTTTCAGAAATATTTACATGGTCCTTTACCTTTAATAACAAAGGCTTCCGTTACCAAACGTAGCATGTACAGTGGTGCATTTGCTATTGAGAGGTCATCAATTCCAGCTCTTGCATACATGCTGATGGCATCTCTGTAGGATCCCTCCACATAATGAAGCTTTCCTAGGATCAGCATAGCTTCTGTCATATACTTAGGCTGAAACGAGAGAAGGGGGGGGGGGGAAGTGTTTACATGGTAGGATACAAAGGGGCAAAAAACAAACAAAAAAGGCAGTTCAGACCAACCCTGCATTAGGCAGACACAAAATGCTTTATTTTCAATTGTGCCGGCTTCACAGACCAACCATATTAGGAAAGACTTAAGTGTCTAGAGAGATCTTAGTGCTACACCCACAGGAGCAGCAGGTGACAAGGACCAGGTAGCTACTTCAGAGCTCAGTTTGGGAACACACAGTTTACCAAAAACTACCCTTGTTAGAACTACCCGCATATGCACACGATTCCCCTGCTTTTGAAGAACTGGGCAGAGAGCCTGACCCTCTAGTCGAACGCTCTTTTCTCCTCTGCACAGAGTGATGAGCAAGAAAGGCCCCAAACACACACCACAAACAATACAGAATGTATTCTTACTACCTGTAAGGTTTTGTTTGGTCTGAAAGACTGAAAGCATGCACACAAATCCGTAAGAAAAACAAAATCCCAATAAAAAAAAGTAAAATAAGTAAATTTTTACAGACCCTCCTTATAGAGGGAGCATGAAAAGGCTCCCAAACCTACACCCTCATTTTTTCAATACATGCTGAATAGACTACAACACAGGGTCCATCTTGCATGTGTAAGCAAGTCGCCACTAAGAAAAAAACCTGGATGTACGGACTGTGACAACTGCCAATACCAAGACCCACAAGAACTCACAGGGGCTTTGATTGCTCTCCAGGCCTAAGCGAGGGGGGGAAAAACACAACAAAAACCAAAGGGTTCAACAAATCTCCCTTCCCCCTCAAAACAAACAAAAATTAGCCAATCAATCAATCAAAAAGCTGCCAAGAAGCTAAAAACAAGGATCTCCCCCAGAAGAGCAGCTAAAAACACATGTTCTCTAGAAAATAACAGAATTAAGGGAAATATATGCTTCCAAGCTAACTATCCAGTAAGTTTCAAGCACAATAGTAGTATAACAAATCTAGAACTTCAGATTCTTGTAATTCTTATTTCCTCTTTAAAGTCAGTTTTGCTATAGTGCATCCAAGGACACCAACACAGCAACAGTCATTGAGTCACAGAGTCTTAAAACGCTCCTAAAGCTGTGCAGCCTGGGGATGGGCAGCAACCTGCCATGTGCCCTGACTGCAAACTAAAACAGAGGAATTTAAACCAGCCCTCGCATAACTGCTCTGGCAGGGATGGGAAACGATGCTGTAATCCTGGACTTTTACCACAATCTCAAGTGCCTGACAGTGTGAGACCTAGAGCTGGCCAGGCGCACAGAATTCCCTCAGCCCAGGAACAGCTCACTAGGCTGTGGCACCAATCTGCACTGTCATGTAGCCATGTCCCATCACTACGGGCTGCTCCTGAACACTTAGGAGCACTTATTTCTAATCAGAAATAAAGAGGCTATATATATGTATGAGGTGTGTGTGTGTGCGCACGTGTAAGAGAAAACAAGCACATGCTTTTTTATACTCAAAAAAGTTAAGTTTCCCAAGAGATAACACTGCAGAGAAGTGGTGAATTCCCAGCATGTTACTGATATCTAGTAATGGAGCACCCTACATCAAGCAGAGAAATATGAACAAGCAATGCAGACCCTTTGCATGACAGAAGCGGCAGCTGCGTAAGAGTTACACCTACATAACACACTTACTGGTAGTTTTCCTCTGTTTAAGATATTGGTCAAATACTTTTTCGCTTCATTCAGTTTCGGTTCATTCTTTTCTGCTAGCGGAATGGAGTCCTTCAGTTTGGCAAAGTTTTCCTTCAAGCACTCTTCCAGCAGGGCCTCTGCAAGCAGCATACTCACGTAGTCCTCTGCAAACACAAATCAATCAAGAAGAAACATCAGTTATTATTATTACTATTTATTGGTGATACAATGCTAATAATAATAATAAAAAACCACAGAGATCAACAGCAACTCAAAGTGAGGTCTAAGAAGAACTAGTGCATAGAAAAAGGAAGATATATTAACTTTTAGGTATCGGAAACACTGCATCTTCTATGAAAAAGAAAAAAGACATTTCCTTTTAACTTGAAGATTTTTCCCTAGTCAGATGCTTTAATTTTGACAGGATAGTTCATTTTCATGTTATCGGTCATGCAATTGTTATGAATTTTCATCACAAAATTATGTTTAAAAATCAGGCCCTATCTTAGCAAACATTCAAGTGCATGCTTTAAATTTACAAATGCACAAGCACGAAGTGGATGCTTTGGACTATGGCTAAGCTATTTATTTCACTGAAGAGCACTGACTCCATCAGAAACTTTCAATGTTTTGTTGAAAGAAAATAATTAAAGATTTTGCTTAGAAATATCCTATATATCCATTATCACAGACAAACTTAAGGTTGACCTTATAAAATAATTAATACGCTGCATGGATTTCTCTCTACATTAAGATCCATGCCTATTCGCAGCTCCCCTGGAGAGTAATTCAAACACAGGTGATAGTGCTGGATACAGTGCAAAGGATCATGCAAGTAAAATGATTCATCTGTCACTATTCTGGCAGTCCTTGTGTGATGGGTTCAGTTCTACAGTTCTTCATTCGTACAACTAGGTCCTCGTTCAACCGTCTAGCTCAAGCTGAGTCAAAACAAAAGTCTTGGTTTTGTAAATCAAAGCTCAAAGTGCTACACTGTACATAGATTTTTTTCCACCTCTACAACACAGAGGAAACAGTAGTCTCTTTCTCTATTTTAAGTCTGTGGGATAGCTTAGTCACACTTATTCTGTATACACACACACACAGCATTAATCAATTCTTTTCGTAATCCAAAACAACAACAAAATATAAAGTGTTTGGTTGCATGTCGCATTGAAGTCGTATTTTACCTACTCAATTGCAGGTATACAGTTAATAATCTAACTTGTACAGAGTGGGGTGCGTATATAAAATAGCTCTGAAAGCCACCTCAAGGACCAGGTGAGCGGAGCAGACAGTGGCACACACCGCACTCAAAGGTGGTTTTCTTTACACATACCCCACCGTTTCCACACAATGCTGAAGAGCGCTCAGGTAAGGTCATTAACATCTTTGCTAAACTTAATTGTGTATAAAAGAACATGCACAACAAAGAAACAAGCACACATACAAAATCTCTAAAGGAAATATTATCGTTTAAAAAAAATCCCATCTAGACATGCTATTGTTTTTAGAAACACGGAACTGGCTTGGTCCTTACAGGGTAAAAGGTCTGTAGCAATAGCAGAGCATGATTCATTCATTACCAGCAAATTACATTGACAGCAACGGATTAACGAATAATGTTTTTACAACAAACATACTGCTGCTATTCCTCTTAATTAAAGGGAAACAAACGAGTAACAGCTCTTTCACTGCTAATGCCCCCAAACCGCATGATGCTCTTTGCATTTCTGCAAAGTGCCGCTGAAATAAAACTAAGCTCAAAGATCAGCTGTGTGGTTCTCAACATAGGGCATGCACTTAAAAAGTCTTGTAAATAAATATATATAAAGCTGCCAACCCTTCCCACCATAGACACACTTTCCCAGCTGTGAGAAAGCCCTGCTTTCGGTACGGTATCCCAGCAAGCTCTGATAAACTCCGGGCCCCCCTCTTATAAACACTGCTCTAGAAAAGGGGCTTTGGTTCTCTGAACAACAACTATAAAGATGTGCAGTATGCGCAGACAAGACGGACGATGCGACTCCAAGGCACAGCAACCTCACGTAACAGAGCGGGCAGGAGGCACGAGCCGCCTCGGCTGGGACGATGCGACCCACCAGATAGATGCAAGAGCGGGTGCAGAGAAGTCCCAGAGAGAGAACAGGGGTCACTAACATCAAGAGGTTGTAAATATTTCTGGTTTTCAGAAGCGTAGCCTGAAGGCGCCAGCAGAGGCTTTCGCTCACTGAAGAAAGCGGTACCTAGCACTGCTCGCCAGCCGCGTTCGGATACTCCTGAGCTCGGCACGAGGGCAGCGCCACTAAGCGGGGCGCGGCCCCTCCGCCCCCGCCGGCTCTCCCGTTGCACCGCAGG